ATGACCTCTTGAGGTCCCTTCCAACTCTGATATTCTATGATTCTATGATTCTATGATCCTTAGATAGAAGGTCCAATAGAAATGGGTAGTACTTACTTATAGGAAGGGAGGTAAAAAAGAAGTCCAAACAGGAGGGCGAAAAAGATAAGACCTCTACACCACAATTTGGCATTAAATTACTGTAACAGCTCCCATCTCTCTTATGGGGAACATCACACTTATTTTAGGCTTTTAAACATACTCCCTTTTGATCATAAGACTTTGAAGAGAATGATCATTAGTACTAGTTAGAGCCAGACAGTGCAGGAAGGCTGTGTGCAAATAGTCCCGTAATACAAGCTTTGCCAATGGGCCTAGGTCTGCACTTTAACTTCTGCTGCTGTTCTAGTCTCGCACGTCCCTCTCTTAAGCAAGTAATGCCAATCATCCCAAATGCTGTGACAATTTTGTGAGTTGGACAAATACTCCCTAGTAACTATACCATACACTGAATTTCCATGAAATATTTGTCCATTATTCTAGACTTCCTGGGGGATTCTAGAGTTTAGGATGCTGAAGTTCAGTACCCTAAAGTCACACTTATTGGTCCCAAAAATTGTTTTATAGAAATAAGCTCTCTCAAGTGAGCTCTGCTCTTTGAATATCCAACTCAGAAATGTTCCCGTTGCACATAGGCGGGAGTGGGTAGAGAGCATGGCTCTAGAGAAAACTTCCTGTATCCAGACCCCTGCTCATAACTGTCTGCTTTTCTGACCTTTGGGCAAGGTCTGTCCATTTCTGCAACATTGCAGGAGGAAAACCAAAAATAGTTGGGGAAGGGAGGTGAAAGGAATAGAATAATAGAATATCAGGGTTGGAAGGGACCTCAAGAGGTCATCTAGTCCAACCCCCTGCTCAAAGCAGGACCAATTCCCAACTAAATCATCCCAGCCAGGGCTTTGTCAAGCCGGGCCTTAAAAACCTCCAAGGAAGGAGACTCCACCACTTCCCTATGTAACGCATTCCAGTGCTTCACCACCCTCCTAGTGAAATAGTGTTTCCTAATAGCCGTATACTTCCTGCTGAACCACTGTTACTGGTATAACTCTTGACTGGGGGAAGTCACAGCACTTTCCAGTCAAATGTGACTGACTATTCTTGCAGCCCTGGGTCTGCTTGCATATGAGGTCTTCAAGCATTGTCTGGATCTAGCCGCCCAACAGATATTAAACAGGTTGTCTGGTGAGTGCATGTATACCAATAATGTACCAAGATTCAATCATCTTTAAAATCTAATCCTATCTTAAATTATCTCTTCTCTCCAAAGAACCACTCTTGCTGCACTTGCAACTCCATTAGCATTAAGTGGGAGTTACAAATGCACAATGGAAAAAAAGTATTTGAACCTCACTTGCATTACACTGGGGGGTAGCTAATGTGGAACAAAGTATGATTTGTTTCAGTAATGTACGGGAGGAGTAAGAGATAAGTGGAAGGAGATGGATGTTTTCACTACCCTTCTCACATAACTTTGGTGTGCACTATGAACTATAATGTTCAAAGTGAACAGGGCTCCAACCACACCCATTTTTTGAGATTACATTGAGGTCTCTCCCCCCCCCAAAGAAATGGGCAAGAGATGCTTTTTATACAAGTGAAAGTTTATGTCTCCAGCTATCAAGTGATGTTAAGGTGGCAATGATCCTAGTTAACTACTGAAATTGGGTTGTAAATCCACAAACATTTTAGTGTAGTGTAGTCTCTAGATCAGTGGTTCTCAATCTTTCCAGACTACTGTATCCCTTTCAGGAACCAGATTTGTCTTGTGTACCCCAAGTTTCACCTCCTTTAAATACTACTTGCTTACAAAATCAGACATAAAAATACCAAAAAGTGTGTCAGCACACTATTACTGAAAAATTGCTTCCTTTCTCATTTTTACCATATAATTATAAAATACATCAATTGGAATATAAATATTGTACTTACATTTCGGTGTGCTATTTGAGCCTGTTTTTCACTTGTGAGCCTTGTCTGAAGCCCAAGCCCCACCTCCCAGAGCAGAAGCATGTAACGTAGCTTCACAGGGCCCCTTGTGGTATGGTGCCCCGGGCAATTGCCATGCTTGCCACCCCTAAACTCATCCCGTGACCCCCGAGTGTCACAACCCCCAGGTTGAGAAACACTGATCTAGAGGAGTTGAATACCCCCTGGAAGACCTCTGGTACCCCCAGGAGTACACATACCCCTGGTTGAGAACCTCTGCTCTAGATCTGCTTGGGGAGCCCCATAAACTAAGTTTTGATTTCTCTTGTTTTCTGTTCTTTTCTATAGTGACTTTTTTAGAAAACTAAACTCTCCCATACACTATCTTTAGTATGTCAAATTAGGAAGCCCTCCTGTTCAGGAAACTTCAAACTTTGATGAAAGATTCTGTCACAGCCCCAGATCTAACCTACTGATTTGAGAGCAGTGTGACTGAATTTTAGGGACAGGGGAACACTGAGCTTATAATGGAAACTCACATGCAATCTTAAGTATGGAGTGATGGCAGTCACTCTGTAATACAGTCTACTGGTGACAGCACAGTATTGTTTTTTAATACTTAATTCCTCTTCAGGAAGGAATTTTTTAAAGTGCATTTTTTAAACTCCCCTCCCTACCCTAACTCCACTGCACCACCAATTCTATTCTCAGAGGCCCCTCCTTTCAGTGACAGACATGGGCATTCTCAGTTCTTTGCCACTTTCTTTAGGGGGACATTATTTATTCCTCATGTACATCCTCAAACATTCAAAAAGCCACCTCTTGTGGCAGTAGGGTGTTAGAGAGGGGAAGCTGTGTGTATCTTGAGTTGTTAGAGTTCATCAGGGAGCTGCAGCACTCACTGCCTGGAGGAGGAAGGGTTACATAAAGATGTGTAGCTATTTTCTTCTGGGCAGTGTCTGACAATCAGGGTGTTGGGGATTGCCTGCCCTCTGCTGCTAAATGATCTCTCTGCACCTGTCACATTCAAGCTCCAAACGGCTGCAGGTATGTCAATTTTACACCCTTTCCAAAGAAGTTGCTCCCTCAGTTCACACTCTCTCTGATTAGGGGACAGCCTTGCAGTTGCCCACATAACCCTGAGCTCTGGAAAATTCAGAGTACATAAAACAAAGAACATAGTTAATGGAGACTAGCAGAGGGAATACTGTGCCCACAAAGTGCTTGTGACAACAAAGAGTGAATTTTGTAAAGTGATATTGTAAAAAAAGACTTCTGAAAGTCATGATCCTAGAAACAGAAGTGTTTTTTTTCTTTTGTTTACTGTTTTTGAGGTGCAGGAGAACATTAAAGACCAAAACTAGCCCAGATTAAGTAACTGAGAAAATGGCCACATTGAGGAAATAAACCATCTAACCCACCCTAGTCTACTGGAGATTTTGTGGCTGAAGCCACCTACTCCACAAAAGCTGCCAAGATCACTCAGGAGACAGAATCTGCATAGGTTACATAGGTCCCCCTGATTCTGAAGATAAGCCACAATGTACTGGGACTCCCTGCAAATCATGGTGGTCACTTTTGTTGCTGCCTGAAAGAAAATCCACCTCTTTCTATGACATACAGTCTGTGGTGTCACCCTCACTGCCTGAGTTGAGCCTGGCCAGCCTGATGGGCTACCCTACTAGCTCTGAGTTTCTGCAGGATGTGTCCCTCCCTACCACCATCTGACAAACCAGCCTAAGCAGCATTCCAGGTGGCTCTCCCAGTACATTCACAATCTATTGGTGCCCTCCACATCAAGAAACCCAAGAGCAGCATGCCAGCCTCACTTGCAAGTAACAACGCCCACCAGTATAAGTCTGTCATTTGCTCACCAGAAAAGGCTCATTTTAATCATATCATTTGTTTATTTTTATTTCCAAAGTTTGTTTACCTGAAACCAATTTCTTTACAAGTGTTCCTGACATTATTTGTCAAACAGGTATTTGAAACACTTCTTCATAGGACAACATTATGTAAAGTGTGTATTTATGCATTACACACATAGTATGGTTCATAAAGTTTTCACAGTTAAATTTTTTGTTTTGAAGAACCTGAAGACATATGACTGAAAGACAGAGGAGATATGGGATTTTCAAAGTGCACTAAGGAAAACATTCTTTAAGAACAAAATCCATATCTGCAGCAGGTTCGAAATAGTTCCCATTCAATCATATCATATCACCCTTAGGATTGGTCACTGAAATAAATTTGCTATTAGGATAGCAGTGGCATTAAATTATGCATGGAAACATTCATCCAAAGATTTTCCCATTTGTTGAGAGCCCTAAGGTAAAGAAAATGGTTCAAACATTACATTTATCAAAAATTGTATAAAAAGTAACAAAGGACCCAGTTTCTTCATAATTTTTCCTTTTCAAAAATAATTTACAAAACACGAGGTCTTGGCCCTTTATTTGTATAAATTATACAGCAACTATAGTTTTTTTAAGACAACGAGAAGAATCTGCATTTAGCACCTCAGTCATTGTTCTTAATGTTGGAAAAGTCTCTGATACTGATGGGAGACTCTTGTAAGAAGGAGAAATACTGAAAAAGAGAACAAAATTAACAAACTGCGATAGAATTTTAAAATTTACTTCAAGGACAAAGTTTCAGTCTGTCCTGATTTAGAGCCCAATCTTGGTCAGGAGTTTGTTGCTCAAATCTTTTGCTCACCATGACTCACACCCCAGCAAGTAGCCTCAGCATAGAGAATGAGACAATCACTATATAAAGGAGCCTTCTGGGATGGCAATAATTAGGATGAAGTAAGATTTACTTCTCTAACAACCATTATTCATTTTTTAAAATAACCACTCCAAACTGCTAACCACAAATTGGGAGAAGTTGATTTCATTCAGATACATCATTTCAGTACTCTTCATAGTGAAGGTGGTGTCAACACTTGTTTTAATACTTTAATAATACATTAATGAAAACTGTGAGAGTAAAAATTGCAAAATGAACATTTACAGTTTGCACATCACGAGTATTAAGACAATAAAGTCAAAGTTTGTGTGGATTCAATTAAAAAATGGTCTGCTTAATGTTGCATCAGTGGAGTATATTTAATGGGTTCCTTTCCTTCATATAAGGAAATTTAATTTGTTTGACTTACAAGTAAATTTATTATCTGAAAGTGCAGTTGGTATCAGATTCAAATTAATGTACCTGAATGTTTATGCTTTCCTTCATTTAAATAGAATATAGTTCTAGTGAAAGTTAGCAGACCGACAACCACAGATAATTAAGTTAAACTATCAACAGAAGAGGTACAGCACAGAGCAGCAGTGCAGGATCTCCTTAAGTTACCCCACAAAGTGCCTAAATCCTGACTTAGAGGGATCACCTTTAGGAATGTTCAGGAACCTATTTCAGTCTCCATCCCATTCAAAATTTTGCTTTTGTACTGAGAATGACCACAAAGAAGACAATTAGTGTCAAGTTTGTGAAGTGAGCACCCGTTTACAAGGAATGAACGTGTGTACTCCATTGTAAATACATCTGGATACACACACACTAGAATATATTTATTTATGTAACAAAAGGGTAGTTTTAAAATACTAGATTTCATTCTGCACTAAAAACATTCACATTTTTAACCCCTTTTAATTTCTCCTCCATAAATGCTCTCAGAGGCCTGGTATTGCTGAGACCCTCCAGGAAATGAGCTAGATGCGGATCCCTCCAGCGCCATGTGAATTAGCCAAAGTAGGATGGATCAATAGTGACTCACTTTTCCCCCTGGTGCTACCAAACCCAAATCCTTATTCCTGTGTGCTTCAACACCTTGTACAGTAACTCCCTCTCACTTAACGTTGTTTCGATCTTACGTCCCTGTTCAATTACAGAACATGCTCCATTTAAAGTCGTGCAATGCTTCGCTATAACATCGTTTGGCTGCCTGCTTTGTCCACAGCTGGCAGCCCCCCATCAGCTCCCCTATGCTCCCCCACCACCCACCCGCCGGCAAACCCCACGGATCAGTGCCTTCCCCCACCTCCTGCCCACGGCAATCAGCTGGCTTGCAGTGTTCAGGAGAGAGTGGGGAGGAGCGAGGACTTGGCGTGCAGGCTCCCCGCCCCCCCCGCCTCCCGAATGCTGCAAACCAGCTGATTGCCATGGGCAGGAAGCAGGGGAGGGAGGGGGGAGGCTGTGTGCTGAGTCCTCGTTCCTTCCCTCTCCCTCCTGCCCCCTGAACGTCGCAAGCCAGCTGATTGCCAAGGGCAGGAGGGAGGGGGAGGAGTGAGGACGCAGCGCGTCTCCCCTGTCCCTCCCCTGCCTCCTGTCCACGGCAATCAGCTGGCTTGTGGCGTTCAGAAGGCGGGGAAGGGAGGGGGAGCCTGCGTGCTGTGTCCTCGCTCCTCCCCTCTGCCTCCTGAATGCTGCAAGCCAGCTGATTGCCGTGGGCAGGAGGCAGGGGAGGGAGGAAGGAGGAGTGAGGACGCGGCGTGTGGAGTAAAGGGGGGGGGACTTGGGGGAAGGGGTGGAGTGGGCGGGCCTAGGGTTGAGCCCCCCCATCCCTGGTGCTTGCAGAGTGGGGGAAGCTACCGCTGCTGCTGCACAATGTACTTCTCCCAGCCTACAGCTACTTCAGCCTCCTTGCCTGCTTCATTGTCTCCAGTGCCAGTGGGCTGTGCCTGTGTGGGGTAAGGCGGGGGCATCTCCCAACTATAGTACTGTACTGTACGGCAAAAAGAAATTTCCCTGGAATCTAACCCCCCGCCCCCATTTACATTCATTCTTATGGGGAAATTGGATTTGCTTAACATCGTTTCACTTAAAGTTGCATTTTTCAGGAACATAACTACAAGGTTAAGTGAGGAGTTGCTGTACTACTCCTAGACTGCTGGGCAGGCCCATGACTTATTATTTAAACTTAATATTGAAAGTCACTAATTTTACTATGCGCAGGTGCTATAGGGTATTTAGTTGGTGGCAATTTTTTTAAAAAAAATCTGTATTAAGTTACAGTTTAAACAATTTAACACAGACTGAATTCTAGTATCCTGCTGGGGACCAATAGTGAAATTCACCGCAGTACAGAGGGTCTATGCAAGGCTATATGTACTACATTAACCTGTAGCATAGGCATTAAGTGGATTTTCATTGGTACATATAGCCTTGTGCATGCCCTCTGCACTAGAGTGAATTTTATCATGACAGGCTGTCGTACAATAAACTGGCTCACAGGAAGCATGATCATCTTAACATTTATGGTTTACTAAGGACTATCACAGGTCATATTTGTTTTACATACACATATACATTTTGTTTAAGTCTGCATATAATAGTTTTGAATTTTTTTTCTTTGACAAAACGTTTACCTTTGGAGATTCATCCAACTTCTGGCTATTTTGCTAAAAGCCTCAGAACCAGGTGCTGTCATGGCTTCAAAATCAACCAACTGAAACAAAACAGATCATCAACAAATAATTACAAAGGAGTAAGAAAATATGGCATTTTGAAAAATGCTAACTTATTGTTAGCACATCCATGGGAAGGCACAATGCTTTTCCTAATCTATTAAGAAAAACTAAACCCGTGGAATTAGATAAGTATCTGGGTTGTCACCAACGTTTTCATCCTTTTGCAGTGGAATCTAGCATATCTTATGTCTTAATCAGAATTAATGGACACTAGTGATTAAATGCCATAAAATTATAAAATCAAGGGTGGTTTTAAAACAATAGATTATATTCCCCATTAATAAATACAAATTGGAAGGCTGGATGTTTGTTCTGTAGTATTAGTTGATGGCCTACTGAAAAAATTCAGTAATGCCAGAAATCTGGGATAATATTGGGCTTTTCTAGCATTTTACATTAATCTAATTCTTCCCATTACATATTTCTGAACTCCAATTTAGCATTAGTAACAACTATGATTTAAGGGTGGGGTTTTTTTGTTTTTGTTTTGTAATTTTGACATGTATACTACTAAACACAGCCAAGATACCTGGGCAGCTTCACATCAATAAAGGCCAGTCAAAGTGCAATACCCTATTTCAGTGGTGGGCAACCTGTGGGCCGCACGCAGCCCATCAGCGTAATCCGCTGGCAGGCCGCAAGACAATTTGTTTACATTGACCATTCGCAGGCACGGCCGCCCACAGCTCCCAGTGACCGCGCTTCTCCGTTCCTGGCCAATGGGAGCTGAAGGAAGTGGCGGCCAGCACGTCCCTGTGGCCCATGCCGCTTCCCGCAGCTCCCATTGGCCGGCAACGGCGAACCGCAGCCACTGGAAGCTGCGGGTGGCTGTGCCTGTGGACGGTCAATGTAAACAAACTGTCTCGCGGCCCACCAGCGGATTACCTGGATAGGTTGCGTGCGGCCCACGGGCCGCAGGTTGTCCACCACTGCCCTATTTCTTCTCATAAAGAAGAATAAAAAAACTAGTCAGAAAAATACATTTTGCACTCTGCCCTGAAGCTTACCAAATTCATGCTCTGATGGATTGCTGAAGAGAACAGATTAGTAATTGGCCCTCCACTGAGAAAGACTTGCTGCTGGATATGGAAAGTTCAAAATGCATTTCACTTTGAAGTGACTAGAAGTGGCAGTGAGGTTCTATTAGAATTCTTTGAGGGTGTCAAGCATGTGGACAAGGGTGATCCAGCTGATACAGTGTACTTGGATTATTAGAAAGCCTTTGACAAGGTCCCTCACCAAAGGCTCTTTAGCAAACTAAGCAGTCAGGGATAAGAGGGAGGGTCCTCTCATGGATAAGTAAAAGATCGGACCATTTATTCTTTGTTTCCTTTTTCACAGTGGAGATAGGTAAATAGCAAGGTCCCCCAAGAATCTGTACTGGGAACCTACCTGTTCAATATATTCATAAATGATCTGGAAAAGGGGATGAGCAGTGAGGTGGCAAAATCTAAAGACAACTATCTCAAGTCACTTTGTATTAAGTCCAAAGCTGACTGCGAAAGTTACAAAGGGATCTCAGTAAACTGGATGACTGGACGACAAAATGGCAGATGAAATTCAGCATTGATAAGTGTAAAGAAATGTACACTTGAAAACCTAATCCCAACTATACATACAAAATGATGGGGTCTAATTTAGCGGTTACCACTCCAGAAAGAGATCTTGGAGTCATTGTGGATAATTTTCTGACAACATCTGCTCAATGTGAGGCAGCAATCAAAAAAGCTAACAATGTTATGAACCACTAGGAAACTGACAGATAACCGAAAATATCATAATGCCAATATATAAACCCATGGTACGCCCACACCTTAAATACTGTGTGCAATTCTGTTTACCCATCTCAAAAAGGATATATTAGAATTGGAAAAAGTACAGAGAAGGGGTATGGAACAGCTTCCATGTGAGGAGAGATTAAAAAGACTGGGACCTTTCAGCTTGGGAAAGAGACAACTAAGAGGGGATATGACAGGTCTATAAAAACATGAGTGGTGTGGAGAAAGTGTTATTTACCCATTCACATACACACAAGAATTAGGGGTCACCCAGTGAAATTAACAGGCAGTAGGTTTAATACAACATAAGGATGTACTTCTTCACATAACACAAAATCAACCTGTGGAACTCATTGCCATGGCACATTATGAAGGCCACAAGTATAATTGGGGGTTCAAAAGATGGTCACAGATGCAACCCCTTGCACCAGATGTCTCGAAACTGCAAACTGCAAAAAGCTGGGACTGGATGAAAAGATATGGATTGCTCAAAATTGCCCTGTTCTGTTCACTCCCTCCGAAGCATCTGGCACTGGCCACAGTAAGAAGACAGGATACTGGGCTAGATTGACCACTGGTCTGACACAGCATGGCCATTCTTATTTGTTCTCTGCTTATTGTCAATTTTCAATACTGAATGAGCTCAATTTTTTCTTGCTAGCTATCAGCCCTCTAAACTCATCAATAGTGAACAGAGAAGCTAGATTCTATACTTCCTTTTTCATGCCTCATCCCCAGTAAAAGGTATTGCAAGCCAAACTTGGTTATCAGTTACACCTGTATAATATAATTTTCCTTCAATGGTTTCAAAGGAGGAATAGAATCCAGCTCATTCTCCCTTAGCTGAATTGGTTCTACAGTGTTAACAGTAAAAAGAGGGGTTACTCACCTTGTGCAGTAACTGCAATTTGTCCAAGTTGTGTCCCCCTATAGGTGCTCAACTTCCATTGCACATGCATCTCTCGAGTCCTTGATGAGAGGTTCATACTCTAGCAGTGCCCCTTCAGCCTGCACACACGCCCTAAAAGCCTCCTCGTGCTGGACACGGAGGCAATGTAGGGATGCATGGGCAAACCACCCTCAGTTCCTTCTCCACACAAATATGTCCACATAGAACAATCCAAAGCAGAGGTGAAGGAAGGGCAGGTAGTGGAGTACTTATAGAGATATATATATCTCAAAAAATTGCAGTTATGGCACATGATGAGTAACCTCTTCCTCTCCTTCGAGTAGTGTCTCTGAGTGCTCCACTTCAGGTGCCTTCTGAGCAGTTTTTCCAAAGGGAGGAGCGAGCTTTGGAACGGAGTCCAGAACTGAAGCTAGTACTGCAGCAGTCAGAGCTGCATTGGATCTGATGGCATGGATTAAAGAGTAGAGCTTCAAAAATGTACGTACAAAAACCCAGGCAGCAGCCCTACACATCTCAGACACTAGTATGTTCTTAAGCAAAGCAGTGGATGTTGCTTGTGACCTGGTAGAATGTGCTATCATCCTTTGAAGAGGATGAAAGCCTGCAGTCTCATAACAAGTGATACATCCAGATATCCATCCTGATAGTGTTTGAGCAGAAATTGTGGATCCCTTGGATCTATTCGATGATGAACAGCCTGGGTAACCTTCAAAATTGCTTTGTCCTATCCAAGTAGGAGACCACAGCCTTTCTAACACACAGGGTATTAAAAGAGGCCCCTGCAGAGAGTTATGTGGCTTTGGGAAAAACACTGATAAAATGAACATATTGGCAAAGAAGGAACCTCCATGAGAACCTTAGGTAAGAATTTAGGATGTGTATGTAAAGAAACCTTATCCTTGAAGAATACTGTAAAGGGAGGATCTGCTATCAAGACACCAATCTCCCCAACTCTACAGGCCAACATGATGGCTACTAAAAAGGCCATCTTCATAGATAAATGGAACAGAGAACAGGCTTCCATAGGTTCAAATGGATGTTTCATAAGGTACAACAGAATCTCAGGGTTGTGAACTGACCAGTCAACCACACGCCTCATTTGGAACCAGAAGTATGCAATCAGGCAGCAGCAGAGACCTCCCCTCTGCCCTCCCAAAAAGCAAGTACAGTACTGTGTTAAATGTAAACTACTAAAAAAAAGGGAAAGTTAAAAAAAAAGATTTGACAAGGTAAGGAAACTGTTTCTGTGCTTGTTTCATTTAAATTAAGATAGTTAAAAGCAGCATTTTTCTTCTGCATAGTAAAGTTTCAAAGCTATATTAAGTAAATGTTCAGTTGTAAACTTTTGAAAGAACAACCATAAGGTTTTGTTCAGAGTTACAAACATTTCAGAGTTACGAACAACCTCCATTTCTGACGTGTTCATAACTGTGAGGTTCTACTGTAATTGAGAACCAGATTGAGGTCCCAGTCTCGAGAGGTGCATGTGCACCTGAAGTGTGGCCCCTAGAGATACTTCTCAAAGCAGCTTATTTTTGTCAGTAAAGTCAGCAGCTATGACTAACTACACAAAAGGAACAGATCTGATGAGTGAGGTGGTATCATTTTTACATAGTCACTTTTCAGACAAGAACTTCACTTTAAATTCCAGAACCAACAGCAAAGGTAATTCAGCAGATCATACATAACTCCTATGGCAGAAGATGGGGTGAGATGCTCTTTCATATAAATGTGTTTCAGAATTCTGTAAATTGCAACCACATTGAACTTCATCTGAAAGCAAAGAGGAAACACTACTATTGCATGCCCATAAGAGCCCATTGCACTCCAGAGATAAGATTTGCATTTTGCTCAAGCTGAATCTTCAGAGACTTCTTCAAGGGGAACCACAAGTTGGAGGTCAGCACTGGGATCTGGCCTCAAGATTATAAAAGGCATGGATTACTATAAAAGGTCCACATCGGAGGGGAACAGCTGCAGCCTCAGGGCTAAAAATAGATGCTGAAATATACTATATATCACACAGTTGTCATCTGAGAATCCACAAAAACACAAAAAGCAATGAATCCTAAAAAACACTATAAAATTGTAAGCCACCATGGTAAAGCATGGACAAACACTTGATACACACACTCTGAGTCCTTGCTTATTCCTTCAGCTGCTTCTCCATACTTAGAAGTATCACTTCTGTTATCTAGGTTGAGCCAGTGTATTTTTATGTAGAACTTGCCTTTCCTTTTGGTATTTTTCCTGCTACTTCCTTCCCACTTGCCATCAGTGCTCCCATGATCACCGAATAAGCTATCACACTAAAAAATAAAGAGCAACAAGTCTCTTTCCGTAACATTTTTCAATTGGAATTATTTTACATTATACAAATTCAACTTCTTACTCCTCAGTTAAAAATTAAAAAAGCACTTCACGATATTTTTTTTTTTAGAGATAAAAACAGACATCTGACACCTTCGTAAAAATCGGGGATTCAGATACTGAGGAACTGTAGTTCTGTAGCCTTATTGATGGATTGTTTACTGATTGATTAATTAGTTAATATTGATTAGCCTCAGACCATAGTGGTCAATAAAGGTTCAGTCTCCTGAGGGCTACAGCATCAGGAATGTTATCAGTATCATCAGAATAAGAGACCCTAGAAACACATGAGAAACAACTGCAATTTATCACAAGTCCCTTTATTAACAAATCCACTGAGCAGATAAACAATCCCATATACACTAAAATAGAATAGCAGATGGAGAGATAATGCACAAGATCAGTCACTAACCTGGATCCTCTTGAGAGTGGCATTAAGTTATAGAAGTAATAAACTAAAGACAGGATTAGATTGCACACAGCATCTGCCTCCTAGATAAAAAAAAATGCAAGCAGGAGCTCAAAAAATACTTTAGTGTACAGATATGAGATGAAGAAACATATAAGAATGTTAGTGCACTTTGTAATACCCTCCATTAAGTAATGATACAATATATTCAACCCTAAGGTGTGGGTTTTTTTTTAAAATAAAGAAAAATATATCATAAGTTTCAATAAAATTGAACCATCCCTATTGTGAACGTTGGAAGATCAAGTAACTCAAAAAGGTCAAGCTAAGGAATTAGCTTGAACAACAAACTAGCACTGTATTTCACCCAGCACGAAGGCATTATGCTATGTCAAAGATCCTGATAAATCTAAAGTACAGCCAGCTTCTCAGGTAGAATGCAATCAACCTGAAAACAATTCTATTGTTTTGTCATGTATTTATGTCAATTCTCAATTTAAAACTGGCCGTCAGGAACCAGTCTATGAATAACATTAAATAGTGCTCATCATGGTAATAATATGCAGTGGTTGCAAGCCAGGATAAAAAAAAATAATAATGGCATTTTTATTATGGAACATTTCATGCTGTGTGTTTGGAATTAAACTATTACTTTAGCAAAGCAGAGCAACTTAATAGATTACCCTTAAACAATGGAAACCTTTCACTTAATTTCGTCTTACTAGTAGCATTTCTGTATGAGGTGAATTTTATTACTTCTTTAGGAACTGTGCCAAAAAATCTGAATATTAGAGCAATGCACAGTAAATTTGTATTTTGGATTGTATTTTGACAAAAATAAAAAATGATAGTATAGATATTAAAAATTAATTATATAAAGGATTCATGGATTACAAGGCCAGAAGAGACCACTGCTATCATCCAATCTGACTTTCAGCATAATACAGGCCACAGAACTTCCCTAATTAATTCCTGTTTGAACCAGAGAATATCTTTTAGAAAAAACAGCAAAAAACAATTTGATTTTAAAATTGCCAATGATGGAAAATCCACGACAACCCTTGGTAAGTATTCCAACGGTTAATTACCCACATTACATCCGGACAAAATTTGAAGTTGAAGCTAGCATGAATTAATTGTTTCCATAAAAACCTTACCCCAAGTTCTGCAGATAGAATTAGTACTTTTCCTTTGGCTGTTAGATCCTTATATAGGGCATCTATTTCTGCATGATACAGTTGTGTTCTTTCTTCCGTTGTCTGAGTTTCCACTGAAAATAATATGTTCCCAACTCTAATACAAAAGATTATTTGAATAAATTTCAAGACACTAATCAAATACTTGAAAGAGGTGCAAAAATGCAGGATAGTTCAGACTAATATTTCTTCCCTCCCTCAAAACCTTCTCCCATATCACCCCTACTTAAAGCAAGAAAACAAATCTGCTGCCCACTCAAATGAGAAGCACTGAGGTTGAAATAGAAACAGAGAAAATATTTTAATATTCTTACTGACAAAGTGGTAGGTGTAATCTGCAATTTTTTATTGCAAATAACTGCTAATATTTTGATGGAAGGAAGTCTAGAGGCTTTTGGGTTTTTTTTAGACAGAGCATTAAAGTTTTATTTTTACATTTACACCCTTCCCGCACCAATGTTGGCACACAGGGTGGAAACCAGTCTCTCCCATTAACCACCATAATTTGCTGCTCCTTCAATTTGCTCTGTGGTATTGAGATAGACTAGCCTGCCCTTTCTCCTACGGGCTCTTCTTAAGGTTTCTCTTGGGTGCCCTCATTTCCTCATACCAGTTGGTTTCCACTTAACAGCTTCCTGAGGGAGTCTGTGTGCTGCCACCAAGAGTAGATGCCTCAAACACGTCCAACGCTTTCTTTCTGCTTCTGGTAGAAATGAGTTGCCAGTTGGTGATTTCTCAAGTCTCTTCACTGGTGAATAAGTCTTTCCAACCAATGCCCAGACTCTTTCATAGGCATTTCTTTTCAAATGTGTCTAGTTTTCGGTTTGACATTTTAGTAGATCTCCAGCTCTCTCAGCTGTATGTTAGCAATGAGATTAGGTTTGAATTGAAAATTCTTAGTTTTGTTTTGGTGCCGTACATCTTTGATTTCCATATGCTGTTGAGTTTAGTAAATGCAATAGATGCCTTGTTTTTTTCTATCCCTGATATCACTTTCTTCTTAAGGTCTCTGTTGGCTAACATAGTGCTGCACAGGTATATGAACTGTTCTACTCTCAATATTTTTGCCTTCTAATAGGACGTTACTGCTTAATGTCTGAGTTTCAAGGATATTTGTTTTACCATAACTAAATTTGAGCCCTACTTGACCTACTATTTTTGCCAAGTTGTCTGTCTTTGTAACTTTTCAGAGGTGTTACTCAGAAAAAAATCTTTTATCCACACAATATGAAAACAAGAAATTTAAAATGATCTGGAAAAAGGGCTAAACAGTGAGGTGGCCAAATCTGCAGATGATACAAAACTACTCAAGATAGTTAAGTCCCAGGCAGACTGTGAAGAGCTACAAAAGATCTCTCAAAACTGGGTGACTGGGCAACAAAATGGCAGATGAAATTCAATGTTGATAAATGCAAAGTAATGCACATTGGAAAACATAATCCCAACTATACATATAAAATGATGGATTCTAAATTCGCTGTTACCACTCAAGAAAGAGATCTTGGAGTAATTGTGAATAGTTCTCTGAAAACATCCTGATATTCTATGATTCTATGATTCTATGATCCACTCAATGTGCACCAGCAGTCAAAAAAACTAACAGAATGTGGGAAATCATTAAGAAAGGGATAGATAATAAGATAGAAAATATCATATTGCCTCTATAAATCCATGGTACACCCACATCTTGAATACTGCATGCAGATGTGGTCGTGCCATCTCAAAAAAGATATATTGGACTTGGAAAAGGTTCAGAAAAGGGCAACAAAAACTATTAGGGGTATGGAATGGCGAGATTAATGAGGAGATATTACTAAAACTAGGATTTTTCAGCTTGGAAAAGAGACAACTAAGGGGGAGGATATGATAGAGGTCTATAAAATCATGACTGGTGTGGAGAAGGTAAACAACACAAGAACTAGGGGCAACCAAATGAAATTAATAGGCAGCAGGTTTAAAAACAAACAAAAAAGTATTTTTCCACACAATGCACAGTCAACCTGTGGAACTTCTTGCCAGAGGATGTTGTGAAGGCCAAGACTATAACAGGGTTCAAAAAAGAACTAGATAAATTCATGGAGGATAGGTTCATCAATGGCTATTAGCCAGGATGGGCAGGGATAGTGTTCCTAGCCTCTGTTTGCCAGAAGGTGGGAATGGGCGACAGGGGATGGATCACTTGATGAATACCTGTCCTGTTCATTCCCTCTGGGGCACCTGGCATTGGCCACTGTCAGAAGACAGGATACTGGGCTAGATAGACCTTTGGTCTGACCCAATATGGCCATTCTTATGTTCTCTCATGGTACTTTTCTATTTCAGTCTGTTTTATTTGTTTAGAATCCACAGCATGTTTGTTTTGTTAACTTTGAAACTCCAGAAATGGAATTGTTTCCTAATTAGTGCTAATTACTACAAAATTGTACTGTTTGGTCTGCATGTGGAACTATTCAGATTCTTACCAAAATTTTACACTTGTGATTGAATTTTCATAGATGTGACAGTTTCACACAGATAAATATTTTCCCAATATAATGAAACTATCTTGTGCATCATCCCATTACGAATGTGCAGAAGGTCTAGAGATTAAAATTCAAAAGGGAAAAATCCACTGGGATGCAGTAAAATGTCTACCTTCCACACTAAAGATGTCCGCAGTAGGTTGTAGAACACTTTAAATGATGGTGTAGAATTTAGATTCCCTAAGTAATCTGAATGGAAAGAATGTCTAAGAAAATTATCAATTCCATACTGTTGTAGTGGGACCATAGAGAACATGGGCTTAAAAATCACTCTTTAGGAGTGCTAGCTTCTTGCCTCTCAAAGGGGGTATTTACTATCTCAACCAGTAATGGACCCAATGCCTCCTCACTACACTTTACCAATTAGGAATTACATGAGTCTAACTTGTAGAGTATTGCCTGAAGCATCACAAAACACTCAAAAATCTCAGTAAAGTGAGAAGGCCAAAAACCCCTGTTCTATCCATCCCCACTTTTAGAATGGATCCACTATGATGGTGGTTTCCAATCCATTCTGATTCAGAGCATTCAGATCTGTTTTTATGGTCTATGAAGTAGACTGAAAAGTTCTCAGAGCAGAAAACATTTAACTCTATCTGAACGGAGACAGCTTTGATTCACCAAGCTGTCAGCCATACAGTTCTGCTGATCAGAATTTTGTGGATACTATTATGAAGGATAAAACTTTTCAATGTGCATTCAACAGAATAATAGGGTCACTGTCGGCTGAGACACTGCACACTTGAGAACCACTTCCAAACTCAGAGAAACTAAGTCATCTACACAAAGAGCCCAATCACACAAGTACAAAATGCCATTAGAACAAGAAATTAATTGCTATTGATAATTCATAATACTTCAACATTTCTTCATTGTCATTTCCTTAAAGATTAGATTAAAAATATGAATTTTTAAAGCAAACGTACTTGTCTCCCGTTATTGTAATTGTGAATCCATCATATTCTTTCCCTTGATCTTTGAGGCTAGGGACTTTTGTGTTTACAGTAAACCCATCTCTTGTTTTACTGTTAAACTGCTTTCAGAAAAAAAGGAAATATATTAGAATAAATATAGAAGGACAAGCTTTCTAGCCACTGTTCTGTAACACAGATTTCTAGAGGACAGTTTTAACAAGAGATCTAGTGCAGCTATGGTCTCCTAAATAAAAAATTTAAATAAAAAAAGACTAAGCTAGAACTATACAGAGAAATGTTTTTCCCAAGCCCCAATAGGATATTCACCATTTGGCATATTAATGTGAAAACAGTAATACGAGTTGTAGAGTCTGTATTTTAGGTTTATACTTTGTAAGTACATGAATTACTCTAAATTGCATTCCACAACATAGCTCACAATTTTTAACTGTTAGCCAATCTCATTCAACATCCTTTGCATATTTTTCTCCTCACCAGAAGGAAAAACACAAAACAAAACACATTTTCAAATTTTGCAAAGCCAAAAAATAGTGATTTAAATTTAAAATAGAAGCCAAAGGCCATAACTAATATGTCAATTATAAACCACAATAACTTTATTCAAATAAAACTAAAAGACAAGTTCTATTCAAAGTTACCCACCTATTTGAACAACCAGACCACTTAAATACTAACCGGCTCTCTCAATTTATCCATGCAGCATTAAAGACAACTGCTCCATTTCCATTGTTGAGTGAATGCTTTTTGCAACCATGTATTTTAAAATATAATAGTATGATCAATGGAATTATGTTTTGGCCAATGGGATTTCATTTTTTTAAAAAATTAAAAGCTTTTATTGAGAAACAGCATTCCAATGTGACATGTACAATTGAGAATGGTATACATGCAATCCAAACCAGATCAAAATCAATTTTTTGAAGACCGGGAATATTTGCTGCCAGTTCTTAGGAAGAGATATTTATTTCTAGCTAAATCATTCATAGTCCCTTAAATAGTTATACATTTTTGTCATCTCTCTGTACTAATCTGTGTTTTAGAATCAGCTGATAACATTTCCCTCTGTCAAGCACTTCTGCAAAAAGTGGCATCCATTTTGCTTGAGGGCCTTACATTATGATTTCCAATATCATAATGTGTTGTACAGGACAGTTCCTATAGTTGTTCATTTTAAATTAGACATACAACTGTCCATTTAAATTGTTATCCACATGAGCTGAAGGTTGTTGCAAAACTTACCTTCATTATGGGAAGAAGGTCTTCTACTTTATGTACATTTTCCAGTGCTTCTCTAACTTCTAGCAGACCTTTAGGATTATTAGCACTAAAATAAAACATGCAACAATTTTAACATACAGCAACACAATGGTCAAACAAATTAGCATTTTTCAGAACATCCATCTAGTTCAGGGGTCGGCAACCTGCGGCACGCATGCCAAAGACGGCACGCGAGCCGATTTTTGATGGCACGCTGCTGCCTGCCGGGGTCCTGGCCACACTCAGCCCCCCTGCCCACCGATTTCTCCTGCGGGGGCAAGAGGCAGAAGCTTGGTCATGCCGGCAGCCAAGCTCCCTCCTCCCCCGCTTCTTCCCCCAGCGTGGTGCTTTCCTGCCCCTCCCACTTCCTCTCCCTGCCACCGATTAGCTGA